TGGGCATGGCTGAAGTCCAGGCAGAAGGTAGAAGAAAGGCTATGGTGAGCAGAGTAGGGCCAGTCACCTCCTCAAAGGTCTTGAGCAGCTGCTGCAGCCTGGGAACCTGGTCCTGCAGAGGAGAGCCCAGTCACAGCCAAGTCCCTTCCCGCACAGCGTGGCCCCAAGCCCAATCCTGGCTCCCTCTCCTGAGAAGGTCCCAGGTCAGTGGGAGCTACTGGGCAAAGATGATTCAAGGGAGCCAAGACCATGAAGCCTAAACCTTGAAAAGTGTTTAAGGTCTCACACTAAACAAGGGCCGTGCAAACCCAGCTGTCGCGACTAGCTCTGTCTTCTCTGTCTGTATCCACCCTAATGGGGGTAGACCCAGGCCTTGGGCTGGGACGGCAGGCTGGATGTCAGCATGATTCCCCCCACCCCCATAGGAGGGGTGGCTCTTGCCTGGCACCCTTTAACCCCACATTATAGAAAATTAGGCCAATAACCTCCAATAACTCCTTTCCCTCAACCCCACCTGCCTTACCCTTGCTCCATGGACTACAGTCATCCCAATTGGGAAAGTGTCCCAGCCGGCTTCTGCCCTGGATAAAACCCCCACTCCTGAAGGACCATCCTAAACTCAGCCTCCTCACCCTAGTACCTGGACAGCTTTGGGCAACTCCAAACTCTCAGCTGAGCCCTGAGCNCCAGGTCCCTTAATCTCTCTGAGCTTCTTTAAGGCAGCAGCAGCACCTACCGTGTTTCCCCGAAAATAAGACCTAGCCAGAGAAGAAGCCCTAGCATGATTCCTCCAGGATATGGAAGGCACGCACCGCTCACATGAGGGTTTTATGACCTGTTTCAGGGAGAAGGGTGCCTTTTCCACAAACTCCCTCAGCTTAAAATATTCAGTATGCCAAGGTTCTGTATTTCGGCACCTAAAATCATGCTATGGCTTATTTTCCAGCTAGGTATTATTTTCGGGGAAACAGGGTACCTCACAGGATTGCATGAAGACTAAGAGAGACAATGAATCTAAAGCACAGAGTGCTCAATAAGTGGAGGCTGATATTATTTTTGAGACTAGCCTCTTTTCATATTATACTTAGCATTTTATAGTTCATGTTGGTGTCCAGTGGGGTCTTACCCATTATTTCTATGTGTCTGTATCTTGACTCCCTAATTTTAATACCCAAATTTAACATCAATTCAGTAACAATTTTTGAGCACTTACTAGGTGCTAAATACTGTGCTGAGGTCTTTATACAGATTATCACATTTAATAACTAGAAAAAGGCTACAGAATGAATATAATACCCATTTTTCATATGAGAAAGCAGAGGCTCAGAGAGATGGAATAACCTGTTTGAATTTGTCTGTCTGACTCCAGGGCCAGTGCTCTTAACCACTGTGCTATGTGCCATCCACTCTGTGAACTATTCCAGAGCCGGGACCCCCAGCCTCTTCTCTGCATCCCCAAAGCACCTGTCACGGAAAACTGAAACGCTGGACTTGAGAAGGTGCACGGGATGGTAAGTTGCACGGGTCCAGGTGGGAAGGCACAAGCCAGGCTCAGGGAACAACAGTGAGAGGGGGCACCTTCTGTCTTTCGGGCACAGGGCCTGGTGCCAGGCCGGCTCCAACTCCAGAATGCCAGGAGCACGTGGCCAGGGGAGAAGGTGGGAATGAGGGCAGCATGGAGGCCTGCACACTCACCCCAGCATTAGAACCTGCATGTCTGGGTCCAGGGCCTCGTCCTTTATAAGGCGACACAGTAACTCTGTTTGAGCTGGACCTGGGTAGGGGACAGCAGAGAAGAGAAGTTTGGGGAAAACGGCAGGAGAGGTAAGGACTCGTAGGGAACAGAAAGCTCAGTTCGTTATAAGGGGCATCGCCAGGGAAGTAAAAGGTTTTACTCGTTGAATCCCCATCTTCTGCTGGGGCCACCCTGGGGTGAAGGCCGGTTCCAGAATTACCTGTTTCTGGGGCCAGGAGCACGGAGCCCAGGAGGGCTCTGCAGACAGGGTAGGTATACTTGGCACAGAAGGAAGTTAGGGCAATCATGAGCAGGCGGGAAGCTGAGGAAGTCAGGGAGAGAATCTACAGCCAATGGGGAGGAAAATATTATTTAATGCGTTTCTTCTTCCTTCCAATAAATGTTTATCAGACACGTTTTTCAGATGGTGATACATGTTACAGAGGGGAAAAAAAGTTCTTTTACCTAGGGCTCCCATAGACCCACCCACTGGAAAAGACACATAGCTCCCTTCCCCTGATCCCAAATCCCTTCAGCTTCTGGAATGGTCTGAGGCCTGAGAGGAGGACTTAGATGCCATGTAGGTAGATGGCCTAGGGGTTCATGCCCTTCCCTTGCCCCAGGCTGCCTGGACAGGCCAGGTGCCTGCAGGGCTGGGAACCCCCTCTCCCAAGCAC